GAGGTGGCTCCTCACGACACCGTAGCAACCCCACCCGTGGGCTCTCACGCCGGACTCCTGGGCACAGAAGAGCAATGCTGGGTGGAGGCGCCTTTGTGAGAGGTCTAAGGAATGCTGGGCTGAGGAAGGAGACTCACCTGTGAAAAGGCAGCCAGCGTGTGCCATGGAGACTTTTCTCAGAAGCAGAGAGGCTGAGCAGGGCTCTGGAAGCTGGCACCATTGCAGGGCCTGCTCTAGGACCTTTTCTTTGGGGTGCAGTGGCCTCTCTGAAGGGGAATGTTGAGGTAGGCAGTAATCACGAAAACTACCCAAAGTTTGGAGCCTCCACCTCATCTTCTACTAGTTATTCATCCATTCATCCACTTATCTAACCACAGACATTTATTTTAATCCTGTTGCTATTATGCCAGGTACCATGCAGGATACATATAAGAATGATACATATGGCCCACTTTCTTGAAGCTGCAACCTAATGAAGGAGCCAACAATAAACTGATAATCAAGCAAAATAGAGACCATTAATGACTCAAAAGATTTAAAGATGTATTTTCAGTGTGTGTATGTTTCTGGAAGCTAGATTACAGGCAGTTGCAAGCTACCCAACGTACGAACTTGGAACCAACTTCTGGTCCTCTGTGGCACTCTCAACCACTGAGCCATTCCTCCAGACCCCAGTAATCACTTTGAAATAAAGAATATTGAAGAGACACATAGAGAAACAAAGGGACAAAGAGAAAAGCAGGTGAGCAAGTGAGGTAGACTAGTCAGGCAAGGCCTGTTAGAAATTGCATTTTTAGATGAGGCTCATCAATCTGTGAAAGATTAATCATTAACCTTTGAAAGATTAAGCAAAGCAAACTATCTAAGAGCATGGATGACCTTTTTCATTTATTTGTTTGATTTGGGTTTGGGGCATTTCTTTGTTTTGAAACAATGTCTCACTATGTAGCCCTGTCTGGCCTGGAAGCTATATAGAACAGACAGTCCTCCAACTGCCACTGCCTCCCTACTGCTGGGATTACAGGTGTAGACCACCACAGCTTCAGGTAGGATCTTATAGGATGAAATGTAAGAACAAATGTCATGAGTCAAAAAACTCTTCTTGGGAGAACCAAACAGCCAGTGTGGCCAGATGAGGGATGTATGTAACCCAGTGGCTGCATGCTTGCCTTTCATTCTCGAATACCTATGTTCACCCGTCAACATGGTAGAGAGAGGGCACACCATGTTCTGGCAAAGAGACAGATTAGAGAATGGCTGATGTGAGGTGATATATGAGAAATAACAACAGCCACACATTGGAGGGTTTGCAGGCCATGATAAGGACTTTGGAGTTTTATTCCGAATTCATTAGGAACCTGTCAGAGGTTTTAACCATAGGAATAGTGTGATCTTGTTTATACTTGGCCACTCTTCAGAAAATAGATTGTAGAGAGGCAAAAACAGGACACTGTCCAGCTGTTCCCAGTCTGGAACTATGCATTTCTTTCAGTGGGTCATACTGGGAGACAGAAAGATAATGGTGACTATGATTAGAGTGGTGGAAACAACAGAGATGGAGAAAAGCGATAGATTTTAATGCAATCAGTAGAACTAATTAATTGGTGGATTGAGTATGAAGATGAAAAAGGGTGGGCTTAGGACCCTTAGGCTTCTGGATTTGATAACTGAGTGAACTATGGTACTGTTTGCTGAAAACGAAAAACCAGAAAATAGTTTGGGCTTTATACTGGAAGAGGGGCCAAGGAAGGGAAGAAATGTCTGTCTTGGGTACTGAAATGCCTGGGGGAAGTGGAGGTGTCAGGTAGGCAATTGGGTTTCTTAAGTCTGTAGCACAGAGGAGAGTTCTGAACCAGAGATAAAAATGTGAGCTGTCAGCCAGGCACGCTAGTGTGTATGTGTCATCCCAGCACTTGAGCGAAAGAAGCAGGAGAATTTCCATATGTTCAAGGCCAACTTGATCTACACAGTGAATTTTCAGCCCCCCTGAATTAATTTGGATGTCAGTCAGTTAAGGGTTTTTTGTTTTTTGTTTTTTCGAGACAGGGTTTCTCTGTGGCTTTGGAGGTTGTCCTGGAACTAGCTCTTGTAGACCAGACTGGTCTTGAACTCACAGAGATCCCCCTGCCTCTGCCTCCCCAGTGCTGGGATTAAAGGCGTGTGCCACCACCGCCTGGCCAGTTAAGGGTATTTAAAGTCATGGCGAAGAATATAGGTAGAAAAGAAGAAATGGCCCAGTATTGATTCCTGGCCCTTCTAACACTTCAGTCAGGACAAAGGAGGAAAAGGAACTTCCTTTGAGATAGAGAGGAAAACTTTGCTGAAGCCAAGAGAAGAAGATTGAGAAAAGGAAGCATCTACCTCGTGAACACCTTCTCTTGTGGATGAGTTGACTAGTAAAATGGCCATTACATTTGGCAACAGAGAAATCACTGATGACCTTGGCCATGTGTCCACACACAAAAATGTGTGATCATGCTCACCAAGCTCTCCGTGTTCAAGAATTTCAAATGTCACCCACAAGTCTGTCCCTGATGTTGTCCCTCGCATCTCCAGCACCTGGTTACTCAGTTCCTCAGCAGTCAGTGTTGGGGACACCTAGCATACAGACAAGAGAGCCCATGCTGATTAAACCATTGCACCCACCCCTCTCCATCCTCCTCTCCCCTCCAGTCCCTAAAGACTGACCTTTAGGGTGACACAATTATCCGGGAGCTGCTGTTCTATATAAACCTCCATGATGAGGTCTCCAGCCTGGGACAACTGGGGGAGGGGCAATAAAGGAGGACAGAGAGGTTACAAAAATACCCACATGGAAGAAGGCCTTCTATGTACCTCCCCCAGCAAAGGTCTCCCCCAGATCTCCTTCCCAACATGCCTTGGGCCTTTGATTGGGGAACTGTGTATTTAGCCTCACATGGTGTCACCTCAGGTTGTGTGATACAGTGGCTTCAAGAAGAGGTTTGCAGTCAAGACTACTTACTTTCCTTCTCTACCATTCACCTACCATGACCTTGAAGAAGTGACTCCAGAGCCTCAATTCTTTATTTGAAAAAAAAAAAAAAATGAGACTACCTACTTAAAGGAATTGTGTGGTGCTAAAATGAGATTAGAGATGCCTGGAATTTAGGATGTCCTCAGCAGTACTTGCTATTGTATTTTAAACAATATTCTTCCTGCCCCACCCTAAATCTCCCAAGGTCCCACGATGGCCTTCAACTCTGAGATAGGTCTCATATAGACCCAGGCTGGGCCTACTTGGTATGTAGCTGAGGGTGATCGTAAACTTTTGATCTTCCTGTTTCTACCTTCTGAGTGCTGGGATTACAGGAATGTGCCACCTGTTAGGATAAAGTGCGTGGGGAACCCTGGCGGATTCCGTGCCAGGCAAGGTTGACAGAGGCAGAGGGACAAACATGCCAGGCAGACAGAGCTTAAGTGAGAAGTTTGAAAGGGAAAGAGGAGAAGGAAAGAGAAAAGAGGTAAAGAGACACAGAGACAGATAGGACAGAAGAGAAGAGGGAGACAGGAAAAGTCCAGTCTGCCCCCAAGGAAACAGAGCAGGAAAGACAGCGTAAGTGGGCAGGGTCTGTCTTTTAAAGGAATCCTCTGCACCTTCATGCAGACTATGTAATCATAGAACCCTGGGCTGACCAGGGTACTGCCTGAGTGCATTCTGCCAGGTGACAGGGACAGGCAAGCATAATGCCTGAATCCTTACCCACCACCATGCCAGGTTTTTTTGTGGTGTTGGGGAGCCAACTGAGGGCTTCCTTCATGCATGCCAGGCAAGCGTGTCATCTGAGCTACATTTCCATCCCTGGCCTGCAGATATCTATGTGGCTGAACTCTTGATCCTCCAACCTCCACAACTCAAGTGCTAGGATTACAGACAGGACTACCACACTTAGAAGGTGGATGCTGGGATATATTTCAGTGAGAGAACGCTTGCCTAGGCTATGTGAGGCCCTTGGTTTTAATACTCAGTATCATGAAGAAAGTGAGGTACTGAAGAATCCTCATGATGGCGTAAATGGAATAAACACACTACCCAAAGCACTTCCCTCCTGGGACTCCCCATCTATGGAAGAGCCAAGGGTCAATGTGCAGAAAGACAGACTGAAAGGAAGCTTTCTTCAGTGAACAGAGGCTCATTTCCTATGATGCTGTCCACTCAGTAGTCTAAGGTGGGGCAGGTTACCTGCACATCCTTCCAGGTGGTGATGAGACTGACCTCCAAGTCGATCTGAGCTGCCTGGTCAGAGTCAATCTGCAAAAGGGCCAAACGTTATTTCAGAGGTTGCTAGGAAAGGAGGGAAGCGGGGCACATATCAAGGTCAGAGGGGAACTGGATAAGAGTGTCGGAGACCTGAAGAGCCAGGAATCAATGGTCAGAGGATGTTGGGGTTGAAACTATGGGAAAGGCAGCCTGGGACTCTGGGAGGAGGTTGCCAATGCAAGGGTAGGCGAGGGTTTGGGAATATGGGCTCAGACTCTGAGTCCACAGGGGTAGGGCAGAGGGGTTGTATGGCAGGGTTAGGAAAGCCTTACATCAAAGACAGAGATGTAGCCGTCGATGAGCTCCTGTAGTATCCGCACCTCATGCTCTCCCCGCCCATCCGTCTGGAACACACTAGGTGCAAACAGCAGGGCCAGGTTTCGTGTGCACATCTGGTTTAGAGCAGCACACTTCTGTACCCTGCAGAGAGACAGGCACCAGAGTCAGGAGGCCAGCCCATGTTCACCCCTTCACCAACACATCCATTAATCTGGCAGACACTTACTGTCCCCTACTGTATGCCAGGGTGCTGGGGATACGTCAATGAATAATACAGCACAGGTCTTAAGGGGCTTTGAATATCTCAGAGACATAGTAAAGGGATGGGTGGTTGTTAGTCGAGCAGGTATCCACAGTTTTTTTTTTTTTTTTTTTTTTTGGTAAAGGACTGGAATAAATACTTTAGGCCCTCAGGCCATATACTATCTGTTGTAACTTCTCAGTTTCACTGCTGTACTGCAAGAGAAGCCATGGGACTCAGAAATGAATGGGTGTGACTTTATACCTTACAGAGTTTTATTTGGAAACCCAGGCAAGGGACTGGATTTACTAATGGTACTGTAGCTGGCAAATCTCTGTAATATTGCCCAATCAATGCAATGTAGCCTGGGATTCACCCCCTTCACAAACCTTTTCTCCTAATAGCCTAGTAAAGGTAGATCTGCATCTTAATAATCTTCCCACCATCATGATGATGGACTAAACCTCTGAACTGTAAGTGAGGCACTTTTTTTTGGTCTTGGTCTTGGTGTTTTTTTTTTTTTTTTTTTAGATTTTATTTATTTATTATATATACAACATTCTGCTTCCATGTATATCCGTACACCAGAAGAGGGCACCAGATCCTATAATGGATGGTTGTGAGCCACCATGTGGTTGCTGGGAATTGAACTCAGGACCTTTGGAAGAGCAGTCAGTGCTCTTAACCTCTGAGCCATCTCTCCAGCTCCGGTCATGGTGTCTTTTCACAGCAATAGAAACCCTAAAATCACATGGCTAGAATGGGAGAACCTAGTTAAAACCTAAGTCTTCATAGTCCCTAAATCCATTCTCTGAACCTTTAGCTGTTACCATCATGTAACAGCTATTGGTGAAATTAATTAATAGATGAAACTGTGGCATTGGTTTGAAGTGTTGAAGGCTCGAGACAGGACGCTGGGAGGGCCTGACTGTACTAACCGATAGAGATGCCCGATGAGGGTGGCCAGTGTTCGGCGGTTTACTCGAGGCAGGCAGCCAATCACTTCTTTGTATTTCTCCAGGCGCTGATTCTTCTGGGGAAGCTCTAGGGAGAGAGGAGAGGAGAGTTGGAGAGGAACCAGGAAGAGAGGATGGAGGCTGAGGGTAGAGATCTTCTGAGAAACAAACCCAGGATGAATGTATCTCTCTCTGCCTCCTTCCTCACTGTGTTGGTTAGTTTTTGCCAACTTGACATAAAACTAGAGTCACCAGGGAAGACAGAATCTCAGCTGAGGAATTGTCTCCATCAGATTGGCCTCTGGGCATGTTTGTGGGGGCTTTTTTCTTAATTAATTATTTTTCTTGATTAATTATTGATGTGGAAGGGCCAAGTACACTATGGGTACTTTCTGACAGGGGTCAGAAAGAAGGTTGAGCAAGTCATGGGGAGCAAGCCAGTAAGCAGTTTTCCTCCATGGTTCCTACTTGAGTTTCTGCCCTGGCTTTTCTTGGCAATGGTGGATTGTGATGCAGAAATGTTAAGACAAAAAAAATCTTTTCCTCCCCTGCTTATCACATCATTAGAAAGCACACTATGAAGCCCGGGCGTTTGTGGTGCATGCCTTTAATCCCAGTACTCAGGAGGCAGAGGCAGGTGGATCTCTGTGAGTTCAAGGCCAGCCTGGTCTACAGAGAGAGTGCCAGGACAGGCTCAAAACAATACAGAGAAACCCTGTCTAAATCCCCACCCCACCCCCCACCAAAAAAAGAAAGCACACTAGGACATTCCCCAAGCCATGTGACTGCATGATCACTGATGGAAATGTTGAGAAGGGGTTTCATTCTCCAGTTCCACAAGAGAGCTTTGTGGATGATAGAAGACAGGAGTTCTCAGTTGAGTCTTGGAGGTACCTGCAGCCTCCCTCCAGCGAGGCAGCAACCTAGCAGAGGTCACAGGGTCATCAAGCTCTCGAAAGAAGCGTTTGAGTGTGTCAGTAACATCTTCTACAAAGTGTTCCCGTGGTCGGAGCTTCACTGACCGGGCATCCCTCCTAAATTCAGCCAAGAGTCGCAGGCTACGGGCCCGAGCACCCCCTTTCCGATATACACCTTCCAGCCGAAGCCCTGAAAACAGCCAGAAGTCTCTGTTGGATTTTGTGTGAAGACACAACACCACCCACCCAGCAGCCCCTCTATGACCCCCATGCTATGTGGCTGCTTGGTCTCAGCTACTTGCTAGACCAGTCTTGGTTCCCCACTCCCTAGTGGAAAGTCCTAACCCATCATCATGCATGGCATAACCACTGTGCTGTAGCTCCCACTTCTATTTTTATGAAATACTCTCTGAAATCACTATTAGGTTGACCTTCATTGTCCACACACTCTAAAATTAAGCATTCATATGATCAACAGAATTTATTTGTAACCCTAATATCAGCAAGTCATTGTTTAGTATTCATGGGTGATTGGATCCAGCAGCCCTTCCCTCAAATGACAAAAATCTATGGATTCAGAGCTGGAGAGATGGCTCAGCAACTAAGAGCACTGGCTGTTCTTCCAGAGGACCCAGGTAAAGGGTGAATTACCAAAACGGAGTCAGGTAAAGATTTTAGGGTATTTATTAGGGAGATGCCTTACTTACTCAAAGCAACCTAGCCAGCCAGCAGGGACCAAGGTAAGTAGAGCAAGCCGATGAAGAAAGGGAAGAAGGGGCTACCATGTGCGTGCCCCTCACTCTTAAACCTTCCCCAAATCACCCAGGCACACCTGTAGCTAGCCCGGAGGAGGCATGGTTAGGGTGTTCCCAACACCCAGTTTCAATTCTCAGCACTCACATGGCAGCTCACAACTGTCTGTAACTCCAGTTACAGGAGATCCAACACCCTCACACAGATATACATGTATGCAAGACACCAATGTACATAAAATACATAAATAAATAATAAAGAAAATCTATGGACATTTAAGTTTCTTATATATAGTGGTGCATTTACATATAATCCTACATAAATCATCTCTGGATTACTTGTAATACCTAATACAAAGTAAAGAATTAAAAAAAAAACGTATACACAGTCACTATAATTTCTTTCAAATGTAGAAACTGTGGCTACAGAAAGCCACGTGTATTTCTGGTTAACTTGTAACATACACAGAGTAAATAAAAAGTCAATTCTTTCTCCCACACACATGTTCCTAGCTAAGGTCTCTGGGTATAAATAAATATCTTTTTTTTTTCTTTTTTGAGGAACTAGGGATAGAAACCAGGGCCTCACACATACAAAGCAAATACTCTGCCACTGAGCTGTGGCCCCAGCCACATCCCTTTTATGAAATATTTAGTTGTGTGTTCCTTTTCTGTTGATGATTTTGCTGTTTAAAAATGCCCCCTCCATTGGGCTGGAGCGATGGCTCAGCAGTTCTTCCAGAGGTCCTGAGTTCAATTCCCAGCAACCACATGGTGGCTCACAACCACCTTGAATGAGATCTGGTGCCGTCTGCCTGCATGCAGGCAGAAGACTGTATACATAATAAATAAATAAAATCTAAAAAAAAAAAAAAATGCCCCCTCCACAGTATGTAGAATATTGGCACGCTGGGTAGTGTTACAAAGTATGAGAATCTTATGATGTGGCTTACAGAGAACATTAAATAAGCTTCATTCAGGTATAAGTTTGTGCTGATCTTGACCTTGAATTGAATGTCAATGAATCAACCATATATAGTAAATAAACTGTCTTTACACGACAAAATGTACCAAACAAGGGTTTTTAAGGATTGGTTGTTAAAAATCTTGTGCCCAGAAGTTCAGAGGACTCCCATCCTGCCTCTCCCTTGGGACTGAGATTCAGTATTCAAGTTAATTAAGTGTTTGCAGTGGCTTTGTAGAACATAACTCATGCAAATAACAAAAGCTGATGGTGTTTGTTTTCTTAATACCCATCTTCCCCAGCAGTCTATGAGCCTGGTTCCCCAACCTTCTCACTGACAGACACATGGTAGCACCTGAGTGTGGCAATACAGAGACCTTAGAGGGAAAGGCGTGGCCACTCCACTTGGGGCCTCAGACTGAATTCCTCATATGAATACTAGTGAAGCTTAGAAAAAGAGCAAGGAGGGCTGGAGAGATGGCTCAGAGGTTAAGAGCACTGACGGCTCTTCCAGAGGTCCTGAGTTCAATTCCTAGCAACCACATGGTGGCTCACAACCATCTGTAATGAGATCTGGTGCCCTCTTCTAGTATGCAGATATACATGGAAGCAGAATGTTGTATACGTAATAAATTTTTTTTAAAAAAAGAAAAAGAAAAACAGCAAGGAGACTGGTGAACGTGAGATTACTAGACGAGGTTACTGCCAAAGTAGGGAGAATGTCATTAGCCACTGACTATCCATTGCCCATGATTGGTAAAATACAAGCCTGTGTATGGTCATAAAGATATCTTTTCCCTCTCTTCAATATTGAGGATTAACCTAGGGCTTTTTCCATGCCAGGTAAGAACCTTATCCATAATCAATACCTTCAGCCCTTTTTGTATTTTTAATTTTGAGATAAGCTCTCATTAAGTTGCTTATGCTGCCCTTGAACTTGCTTCCTAACCAAATGCCTTGAACTTAGAATCCTTCTGCCTCAAATTACTGAATAGTTGTAATTACAGGCCTATGCTAGCAGGCCCAGATGTTTTGTTTGGTTCTTTGGTTGGTTTTGGTGCTGGGGAATTGAACCCAGGACCTGTACCTCTTTGGTTTCTTATGAATTTTTCTTTTTCAATATCCAGCCTCCTAAAAAGAGTTCATATGGAATGTGAATTCATCGGGCCAGACTCCACAAAGACCCAGAGTCCTAGACACTCTCTCTCCCATAAAATCTTTCTGTTCAGACCATCAGTGATTTTTGTCCTGCCCAGCTTAGCTCTTGCCTCATAGGTGCCTCCACTCGGTCCACCACATCTCTGAATCCTTACATTTCTTGTGTTCTTCTCACCTCTGAACCAGTGCCACTTCTGAGCAGGGACAGCCTGCCAGGACCTGTACTCATTGCTGGACACTCACCATCTCACTGTCACGCTAGACTGGAAAGTGAGGACCATTGGTTCCATTTTACAGATGAGGGAACTAAGGACAGCCGGTGTCATGTTTCAGGTAACACACACACACCCTGGCTTCTCCCAACCCCTCCCACTGGCTCATTGTTGATCAGTGCCCACTCACCATGCTGTGTTACAAAACTGATGCAAGCATCCACAATGATAGGGATGTCTCCCCGGCTCATCTGCTGCTCCTGCAGCCCTGTGCCACCCCCTCCAGCAGCACCCCCAATGGCTGTATTCCATGCTGCAAAGTCTAGCCGACCTTCCCCCTGCAAATACAGGGTCCTGAGACCCAAGAAGCATGAGTTAGAGCCAGCTTGAGAGATCAGACAGAAGTTGAGGAGCACGTGGGGATGACTTCCCAGAGCTGCCAGCAGGGGGCAACAACACCAAGCCCAGATAGTCGTAAAAGGGAAGCAACTTTGAGGAAGCAGGAAGGAAGGGTTGAGAGGAAGTTGGTTCAAAGGGTCACAGATAAGTAGAACATTACCTTCCTGTCTCTACCAGGACCAAATGCTCCTTTTTGTCTGGAGTTTCAGCTGCAGAGACCACACCTATAGAAGAATCCTTAAACATTATCATCAACATCATCATAGGTCGTTAAGGTATGTAGGCACCAGATTAGCAGCCTTACAAACAATGCTCCACTACACACTACTACACCCATGTTACATATGAGTGCGCAGATGTTAAACATTTGCCTTACACTGTTTGCTATAAAATGACAAAGCTGAGCTAAAACCCAGGTCTCTTGTTCCCAGAGTCCTACAGCATTATTCTAGCATGTTCCTCTTTCGGAAGACAACAGTGAAGACGCATAGTCCCTCATCCTAGTCCCCAACCAGCAAATAATACTTATTGAGTACTTACAGGTTGCCTCCTGCCAGTTTTATCCTGTGATAAAAGTTTTATGTATTCCCTTATTTGAACCTTACTCTAGCCCTTGGAGGAAGGTCTTTCTTTTGTCAATTTTAAGATTAGGAAACCAAGGCATAGAAAAGTTGAGTAACTCTTCCAATGCACAAGCTAGGAATTGATGGGAATGGGGTCTAAATCTAGGTAGTTTGACTTCAGAACTTGTATCTGAGCTATTGCATTCTGCTCTTTCCCATACGAATCCCCAAATAAAAAAGATTCAGTCTCAAACTTGCCCGTGGCCACCCTTTAGCCCTGTCCACACCCCTACTCACTGATCTCCTGTAGACGCCGTAAATGCACCATGTCCTCAGGGGCTGGGGGACCAGGGCCCGGCGC